GGAGAAGAAAATGTTCTAAAATTGATGGCGATACCAATTGTACAACTCTTCTTGATATGATCGAGCTATTGAATCGTGTGGTCTGGGGGGGCTGTGCTAATAAAATGGTAGAGAAAGAAGGAAAGCAAGCCTAAAGGAGCCCCCACTTGATGGATCTCCTCCTGCTACTCCCTCCACGGGGCTCACTCTGCTGAGTTCCCACTGCTTCTGGGTCATCCTTGCAGGCACTGACTGCGCTGAGCTCTGGACCCTGCGTTCTGCATCCCCTGCCTGCTCCCAGGGATGGATGGCCTTGGCCCCACATGCACTCAGAGTCTCTAACTCCATGGAAAATGGAGGACTGACCACCAGCTGGAGGCGGCGAAGAGTTAAGACTCCCGTGTGATTTTTGTAATTTCAGTCTGGAGCTGCAAAACATACCCACCCAAATGCTTGGTTGAAATGCAACCATATTCAAATACAGTTTTAGAAATAAAATAAGAAAGCCTTGCTTGTTTCCACCCGGTCTCAAACCAGGGACCTTTCGCATGTTAGGTGAACGTGATAACCACTACACTACAAAAACCCATCTGCCTTCCTTTTTTTCCTAGTTCTGATTGGTTAATCACATACTTGTCCTTTAGCATATTTTCGTGGTTGAGCAGGTACTTTCTTTTTACTTCTCTCTACACTTGGACATGCTGAAAATCAACAGTACCCAACCCAAAAAGTCATGGACTACATGTTACTCTCAGAGTCCTGATTCCTCCAGAAATAACCAGACAGGAAAATCTTGGCGAACGTTTAGGGAGTTTTCCATATGTTCCAGACCCCGTGGGTTCGCTGCCCACGTAAGATACTCTGAGCTTCATCTCCAGACTGAGCAGGGTACTTCAGGCACTGGGATGAAGGGGCTCAGCTAAGGAGCCGTCTGCACTGTGGTGCCCGGGCAAGGACAGGAGGGACCGAGGGACAGAGAGTGTGACTGTCAGGCTGTGCCCAGCTGTCTGTCAAGCGAGGGGGGTGGGAGTGGTAGGGTCTTTGCCAAAGTACAATCTGTGGCGAGTGAGTCTATTAGACATCAAATCAACTTCTTCTTTTTGTTTTTAATAGATAACAAAGTTTATTAGTGGTTACTGGGGTCAGTATAGAGAAAGTGGGGGGTGAAGGGTAGGGCTGATGGAAAATCTACAAGGATCATGGAATGGCAGCTTGCAGATTCTTGTAATTGCTGTCAATAAGGTTTAAACCTGTAAATAACTGAACGGGCAAAAGTCGTGTGGCAGATATATAAGGAGGCTTCAAAAGGTTTGTGGGAAACTTGCATTCTTTAAACATTTATTTGCAGTCATCACTGGGGCTATTTCTTGCTGTTGATTTTTTGCTGGCCTGCTCTTCCACCTGCATAACCAGGCACGGGGCCTTCATGAAACCTTGCAGGACTAAGAGGTCATTGAGAAGCTTGGCTACAGTGGGTTTTGCTCTGTTCTCAATGGTTTCCAGGTCGTAGTCCGGCTGCTTGGTCAACTCGGGAGAGCTTAAGTCAGGTTAGCCCTTGCTTTGAGAGGAAGAGGTACAAGGAGTCTCAGAGAGAAGCCACTGCTGGGCACGAGCGCCGACTACACACTGCGCAGGCTGGGCCCAAAGCAACTTTTTCATCACTCATGCTTTCTGCTCTGGAATGGCTAAACACGGGGTCCGATAACTTTTAAAATATTTTTCTAGGAGGAAGGTGACTCTTCTTTGCTATTTATCCCATTTCAGCTGTAGGAAGTCATGGTCCTTACCCCAGGGGGGCGGGGTAGAAACAATCTACCTTCTACTCTGTTCTAAAATTAAGTTTTCCTAAGGATGAGTGCTGCTGGCTTAGCAGGTAACTACAAATGAGCAGTTCGAAACCACCAGCCGCTCTGCAGGAGAAAGACAAGTTTTCTATTCCCGTCAAGAGTTGTGGTTGGAAACCCACCAGGCTAACAGTTCCACCTTGTCCTATAGGGGTCACTATGTGTTGGAATCGACTCGATGGCTGTGAGTTTGGCGTCTTGGAAAGCTGACTGCTGGTGACGATGCTCAGCGCGGAAAAGATGCTTGTCCCCAAATACTAGAAAGTTGTAAGGAGAGCGAGGCTTCTGGCCTCTGAGAAAGGTCACATTCTGCCTCCTTCTCCTGGCAACTAAAACACAGTCAGATCCAACATCGTGAGTTGTTGTGGTTAGGTGCCCCAGAGTCAGTTCCACCTCCCAGTCTTTCAGAACCAAAGACTACATGACCCTGGGCCGGCCTCACAACGCTGCTGTGTTGGAGACTTGACACAGCCATGTATCAGGCCATCTCCTTGAGGGCCTTCCTCTTTTTCACTTATCATCTCTTTGACTAGTCCCTCCTGATAACATGTCCAAAATGCCAACGACATAAATACCACAGGGTTCTTCTCTCGGAATAAGGAAACGTCGCTTTACTCTTGGTCTTGACAAGACTTGCTAGGGAAACTGAGGACTAACTTAGAGTTGATTTAAAAACAAGGGGGTGATGGAAGAGAAGTTGAATGCAGGGGCATTCTGGCCTCAGATGAACGTAGAAAGAGTGTGGACATTCCGATGTACTGGTCCGTGGGCACAAAAGGGAAGGGAAGTGGAAGAATACGTGCAGGAGCAGGGAAGAGAGGTAGGCTCCTCCTCCATACGGAGGTGAGGTTTTCATCTGAATGTGAGGACCGAGAAAGAAACACGGCATTGCTCATTTTGACCCAAAGGTCTCTTAGGCGGTTGGGTGAACATGAGAATATCTCAGAGCTCAGCCTTCCTAATGCTGCGACCCTTTCATACAGTTTCTCATGTTGTGGTGACCAGACAACCATAACATTATTTTGAATGCTACTTCATAACTGCAATTTTGCTACTGTTATGAATGGGGCAACTCCTGCGAAAGGATCATTTGACTTCCAAAGGGGTCATGACCCCTAGGTTGAGAACCGCTGCTTTAAGCCTTTTTCCTTTTTTCTGTTTGAAACCTGTTTAAAATGGGGTTGATCATAACAAAGGAAGGGGAAGAGAGGGTTCACAGCTTCAGCCAGTCCTGCTGCCAGTCTCTGGCACCTAACCTGGGAGGCACTTCACTTCCACTTCTTGATTCCAGTGGTGTGAGATCTTCCCAGACCCCACTGGGCCATGTCCTGCCTAGGGGGGTGGCGCAGGGCCTCTCCACTGGTGGGCCGCATGTGAGGCCCAGTGGGTGGCACTCTCCATGTCCTTGTGGTCTCTGGGGTTCAGGACCAGGCTATGGGCAGAGTTGGTGGGAAGACCTGGGCGCCGGGTGGCAGTGAGGGAGCTTAGGACCCTGAGGGGGCATGCGGAC